CCCCAGCTTGCCACGAGTGAGAAGGGAGGCCAGGAACAGCACCAACGTGGCATAGTTGCAAAGGGACCGAGCCGGGACTGGCTTTGCTCTCTGGGGCCGCTCGGCTTGGAAAGAGGAAAGAGAGTGGGGGTTATTTGATAAGGCAGAAGCCGCTGCCTCCCATCCGCCTTGTCTCCCAGCAAAAATTAACACCCCCCCCACAGTTGTGTGGATCCCCAACTTCTCCAGCGAGGCATGGAGGTGCCCCTGATGGAGAATCGCACTGAAAAGGGTCCATTGCTTGGCGCTGTGGGGGGACGTGGGGGTCTGCGGGTGCGTTGGCACATGACAGCACCTCGGCTCCCCTTGTTGCAGGGCGAGTGTGTTTAGGGGAGGGGAGGCAGGTACAACCCCCCTCCCTGCTTAATCCCCTGGCTGCTTTCTGGGGGGTGGGTCTTGCACAAATACTTCAGGTATAACCTACTTGCTGTATGATTGTGTGTGTGTGTGTGTGTGTGTGTGTGTGAAAGGGAGAGAACGTGAAAGAAAAACACTTTATACGTAACCTATCTTGAATCTTTTGGAAGTGTGTGTGTGTGTGCTTGCGCTCAAATACATTATGTCTCACCTACTTTCCTTTCTTGTGCGTGTACATATACAAGCACTTTATACATAGTCTACTCGGTTGGTCAAGTATTTGAAATAAAGTGTGTGCGCGCGCGCGCGCGCGTGAAAGAGGAAAAACACTTTTAGTCGTGTGTGCGTGAAAGGAAAATGAAAGCGCTTGATATATAATCTACTATTTGATAAAGTGTGTGTTTGTGCTTGGGTGTGTGAAAGAGAAAAAAACACTTTGTGCATACTCCATTATTTGATCATTTAAGTGTGTGTGTGAAAGAAAAAAGAAAACACTTGATACTTAATCCACTCTTTGATAAAGTGTGCCTGTGTTTGTGTGTGCAGGCAAAACAATGTTTATATATTACACTATATGATAAAGAGTGTGTGAAAGAAAAAAACACTTTAGACATAATTCACTCTGATTAAGGGTTGTGAGGATGTGTGTGTGTGTGTGTGAGAAAGAGAAAAAACCCACTTTCTAAATAACCTATTATTTTGATTTTTTGGAAGTGTGTGTGTACATAGTTTATGGCTAATCTACTTTTCTGATATTGTCTCGTGTGTGTGCGTATACAAGCACTTTATACATAATCCTACATTTTTAATAATGTATTTGGAAGAAAGTGTGTGGGAGTGTGTGAAAGAGAGACAAAAACCCTTTATATTTTATCCACTATGTTGATCTTGTGTGTGTGAAAGAGCAAGAGAGAGAGAAAGAAGCCACTTCATACATAACCTTCTATTCTGTATTTTTGGCAGTGTATTTTGTTTGCCTAGAAATGCTTTATGCTTAATCTATTCGCCTGGTAATTTTAAACACTTTATACACAGCTCACGACATTTCTCACGTATTTAGAAGAAAGTGTGTGCGCGAGCAATAATACTTCAATCTTCCTTGATTTGTAGTGTGTGTGAATAATTCCTTTGCACATAAACTATTCTCTCATTTATTTGGAAGAAAGCGTGTGTGTAGGTGTGTGTCTGTACACAAATACTTTATGCATATTCTATTTCCCTGATAATGTCTTTGGATGTGTATGCTTATGTGTGTGTGTATACAAACACTTTATGCCTAATTTACCTTCCTGATAATTTGTGGAAGTGTGTGTGGGTGTGTACAAACAGTTAATGCTTAATTTACCTTCCTGATAATTTTTGGAAGAGAAAGAGAGTGTGCATGTGTACGTGTACAAACACTTTATGCCTAATTTACCCTCCGGATAATTTGTGGAAGTGTGTGGGGGGGTGTGGGCGTGGGTGTACAAACACTTTATGCCTAATTTACCTTCTTGATAATTTTTGGAAGTGTGTGTGTGTGTTTACGTGCGTGCGTGTGCGTGTGCGTGTGCGTGTATGTGTGTGTGTGTGCTCGCTCTACCAAAGAAAAGAACAAGGGAAGCGGATTCTAGCCAACAGGTCCGCATTGTACACAGGGGTATAAATTGGATAGGAAATGGTACGTGGCTTCACCTTGAAGAGGAATAGTTGGGTTTCAAAGACTTTCAAACATTCACTGAAATAGATAAAACTTATTTATTACCAGCGAGTGGGGAGGACAAATTGTTGCTTCGCTATAAAACCTGGATTATTTCTGGGCTTGCTTCTTTTATTCAGTCGCGTATTTCATAGCTAGAGCTTGGCAATGAATTCTCTGGGAGGTGTGTGTTGGAGAGGGGGTGAGGGTGATCCACGTCTCTTTAATTGCAAGGAGCCTGCAATATAAAACAAGGATATTGTATTTCGGCAAAACCCAGGGAAATATTCATGTATGCAAACCGCCAATGGGATTTATTTACATTTGGGTATTTTTCAGCCTGGGCTGAAGAGGAGGGAGCAAATAAAGGGGGGGCATACACACGAGAGTGTAAATAGGCGATGTCCATGGATGTGTCGCAGAAGTGATCCTCCGTTTTTCTCCCGGACTCCAGTAGTCCTCGGGAAACCCGCACATGGGCTCATCCCTGCGTGTCTCGAGAAGCAACTGGAGACCTCTAATTGCGAAATAAAATTAAAAACACATAGGACGAGTCAAGCTTGTTATTGCCCCCCACATCATTGCCCCCCACCCCTCTACACTTCTCCCTCCCTGAACGCTTAAAGCAGGGGGTTGGGGGCCAAACTTCTTCTCTTCGCACCGTGCAGAGTTGGGCTAACTTTTCATTTTTCTTTTGTTCTGCTCGGGTCTCCCCCCCCCCCAATTCTCCTT